TAAGATTAATAAAATGTGATATAAATATAAGTTACAAGTTCTTTTGTAATTTTTTTTTTTTAATACTGTGTAGTTTAACTTTTTGAAATGTTTATATAATTTGTAACTTCACAATTATTATTATTTAAATAAATGTACAAGAAGAAAAATAGGATGGAAAAGATTTATAAAAAAAAATGAATATACGATGTATAATAACATCGAACATAATTACGCGTGCAAGGCTGTCGTGCGGATTTTTTTACTTTGTTGTTGTTGGCCGCGTTACCCGTAAGCTCGTGGATCACTGGAGTCGCATTACATAAGTCGACACGAAGCGACCGAGCAACGAATGGAGGTGGAAGACCACTGCAATCCGAGAACATTGTACACACTGTGGCTATTTCGAACCTCGAGCTCTATCTGATCATAAACCGAGTTGATCACATCGAATATTGTTTTGTATCGTTTTCAATTTTCATTAAGTTGTACGCAATACCAAAACAGGGAAACATTTACGTGTGCGCGGTTCTATTTGAATAATATTTCTTCTTTTATTTTTTAAAGTTTTTATCGGATTTATCAACATTCGTATAAATAAATTGCACATCTGTTCCAAAAGAGCTTGATTCCAAAGGAAAGGATTATATGGAATTATTATCGTATTTTATGGCGTGTTAAATAACAATTTTTGTTTATCATTGTTCGAAAACCGGTTCGATGCCTCTTAAATAAGATTGATCGCAGTTTTATTTGTATATCTATGTTCGGTGATACTTACGTTTCGCAGAATAATTCGAAGGAAAATTATAGATGAAACTGATAAGAAATTAAATCTGGGAAAAAAGGAAAATATGACTGCAACAGAAGAAACTGAACCTTTGATATCATCGAAAGGTTTAACTACTTGTCGGAATAAATCACAAACGATCTTATATGATGCGATTTCATTGGTAAGCAATTAAACGATTTAATTAAATTCCTTATGTGTTATTTATTACGAATTTATTTCAAATTTCACAAAATTGTGAATTAGTATTACTTGGTAGAAATATTCTGAATATATATTATACATTCTTGAATGTATTATACTTTTGGCTTCGTTCAATGTTTGAACGAAGATTATGATCATATGGCTTCCTCGATGTTTACGGTTTTCCCAAGATTATTTTCATTATTATTTCGAAATAATATTTTTATAAAATGTAATTTCTGAAAATATAAACGAAAATATATAAACATAAAAATCATAACACAAAATATATGTCTAATAAAACGAAATAAGTTAATTATTTTTTATAATTTTTTTTTCTTCTCTTTACAAAAAGAATTTTATTTTTTTTTTACAATTTATATTTGCTTCTCTTACATATTTCTGTTTAATGATTTTTAGGAAGAAAATGAAAGAATCGCAGTATCGAATTCCAAGATATCGTCGTTCAAATTAAAACCGATCTTACATTCGAGAATAGGGATAACACCGAAGGATACAACATTCGTACAGCATTCCACAGGAAATACCGAAAACGAATCAATTACGTATACATGGAGCGATTTAAACGTATATGCCGCTAAAGTAAATGAAAAACCATGGGAATTTTTTTTGAAAAGAAAAAAATCTATCGAACGAAGACATTTATTGAAAGATGGTAAAAACGAAAATCAGGATCAAAAATAAGATTAGAAGAAAATATTTCAATAAAAATTTATCGCGTAGAATTAATTGAGAATTGAACGATTAGAAAGAAAATTGAAACGACTGTTTAAATTTTACCTCTATATTGATATAAAATTTGATTACAGTATGCGGAGTTGCATATCCAGGTGAATTGTTGATAATTATGGGATCATCAGGAGCTGGTAAAACAACATTATTAAACGCTTTGACATTTCGATCGGGTTGTGGAGTGATTGCATCTGGAGTGATGGCTGCAAATGGGCGAAGAGTATCTTCTACGATACTGACATCGAGAACCGCGTATGTGCAACAAGATGATTTATTCGTTGGCACTTTAACCGTTAAGGAACATCTTTTGTTTCAAGCTATGGTTCGTATGGATCGAAAAATACCTATGGAGCAAAGATTCGATCGAGTGCATCAAGTAATTAACGAGGTACATCGAATAAATATCTAGATTTATAATTATATCGTATATAATTAATTTCAAGAAATGTTGTGTGTTTCATAGCTTGCATTAACCAAATGTAAAAATACGGTAATTGGTCAACCGGGAAGAATTAAAGGTCTTTCCGGAGGTGAAATGAAAAGATTGTCATTCGCATCAGAAGTTCTTACCGATCCACCGTTGATGTTTTGTGACGAACCTACATCAGGCCTCGATTCTTTTATGGCGCATCAAGTAGTTTCGGTATTGAAGACTTTAGCCGGTACGTAACATCGAGTTCGATGGTAAATTGGATGGATGTATACAAATATAAGAAACATGATTTTTCAGCACGTGGTAAAACGATCGTCGCTACATTGCACCAACCTTCCTCAGAATTATTCGCTCTATTCGATAGAATTCTATTAATGGCTGAAGGAAGAGTAGCCTTCATGGGTACGACATCGCAAGCTTGCACTTTTTTCGAAACGTAAGTATTTATCTAGTAACACAATAAATAATACTCCTAGAAACATTGTTGCGAACGTATCCTTTGTATATATATATCCTTTTTATATTTTATGTATATATATGTTTCCATTTATGTCTCACTTTCTTATTTTTTCCACACTTTTTCTTCTCGTTATGCAGTTTATTAAGTAATAAAAGAATTTGATGTTTACAGACTTGGCGCTGCTTGTCCTAGTAATTATAATCCGGCGGATTATTTTGTTCAAATGTTGGCGATTGTACCTGGACAAGAAACGTCTTGTCGTCATGCGATAAACACTGTATGCGACGCCTTCCAAAAAAGTGAACAGGGTATTAAAATTGCATTAGAAGCAGAGGCAGTAAATAATGAATTCGATGATTCGATACGAGATTCGAAATATTCGAAAAATCGATCGTTGTACAAAGCAAGTTGGTGCGAACAATTTCGTGCAGTTTTATGGCGTTCCTGGTTATCGGTTATCAAAGAACCTATCCTCATTAAAGTTCGTCTGTTACAGACTGTTGTAGGTATTACTGTTTAAAAAAAAAGAAATGGTAAAAAATATATATTATCGATATAAATTATATTCTAAATATATATATTTATCGTTTGTTTTAGATGGTGTCTTTATTGGTGGGAATCGTTTATTTCAATCAACGATTAGATCAAGACGGAGTAATGAATATCAATGGTGCTTTATTTATATTTCTCACCAATATGACTTTCCAGAACGTTTTTGCCGTAATCAATGTAAAATTTATTTGCTTATATAAAAATTATATAAAAATAAAGCGTAAAGTTATGCCATTTATGTGTATGTATGTATATATATGTATATTTCATTTATACTGTGCAGGTTTTTTGCGCAGAACTACCGATATTTTTACGGGAACATCGAAACGGCATGTATCGTACAGATGTATATTTTCTGTGTAAAACGCTCGCAGAAGCGCCTATTTTTATAGCAGTACCGTTTCTCTTCACTATTATTGCTTATCCCATGATTGGATTGTATCCGGGAATCGATCATTTTTTCATTACCGCTGGTATCGTTGCTCTCGTTGCTAACGTTTCGACATCTTTTGGTATGTTATTTATAATACATCATGAACAATTCTTCAACAAATTAATACTTATATTTATTCAATTTTTCATTGAAAAATATTTTTCAATAAAAAAATATATTTTTTTTAGGCTATTTAATATCCTGCATTAGCAACAATTTATCCATGGCGTTATCCATCGGACCACCAGTGATAATACCGTTTTTGCTTTTTGGTGGATTTTTCTTAAATACAGCGTAAATATAATTACAATGGAATATATTTAATATTAATTATTTATATAGATGCAAAACATTATTTATATATGTATAATTTATACGTAATATCTTACAGATCCGTTCCATTCTATTTTGAATGGTTCTCCTATTTATCTTGGTTTCGGTATGGAAACGAAGCTCTTCTTATCAATCAATGGTCGGAAGTAGAATCTATAGAATGTACAAGAAGCAATGCAACTTGTCCTAAATCTGGTCGAATGGTTTTACAAACGTTCAATTTTAAACAGGTTCGCGATATAATACATATATATATATATTTATGATATTATATCCGTTTCAACGCGGCAAAAGAGATTATATTTCGCTTCGAATATATGTTCGATTTATTTAATTATTTTCTTTTGCATGCATGCACGTATATATTTTTTTTCTATTTATTTTATATAATTTTTATTTATCTTATTTATCATTTTCGATTTTTAGGAACATTTTTGGATGGATATCGTATGCCTTTTTTCCTTAATTATTGCATTTCGTTTTTTGGCATTTTTGGCTCTACTATTAAAAACTCGGGGCAATTACAAACAAAGATAGAAAAAGAAAGATAGATTAAAAGTTACATTAAAAATTTTTTTATAACTGCTGTCATTTTTGTCTTATCAAAATCCGCGCACAAATTTTTTGCCGGATAACGTTACTTTTCTCCGTAATTTATTGTTATTTTATATTTGTTCTTTTATTTTACGACACATGAATAAATAAATATTTTCGTAATTTTTGTTGAACAAATT